GAAGTTCTCTACCGACCTACAAAATCTGCTGCTCTCTTAAATTCATTAGATTTCAGTGAAAATGTTCCCACAGTGGGCGATATTCTGTAATTCATCGAAGCAATCTTGGATTGAAAGAGGGCGTTTTGAGGTCGATTACAGCGCGTGGGCCGTTTGAAAAACGACAAAGAAAGTTTATCATTTCCGCTGCGCCGCTAGCAATTGCAAGGTTATTTGAGGAAAAATGAGGGCAAAAAATTTGTAACTCGTTTTGCAGGGATAATACAACTCCCTTTCCTTCTTTTTACAACGATTAATTACATTTACTCGCAAAATTCCCCGTTATTTTGGGCGAAAATTAAAATTGTTGATTTCAATAAGCAGCTATAAGTAGATGAAAATGAACTAAAATAAGTAAGAAATTATAAAATAACAAAAAACGCACAATTAAAAAGCAGCAAAAATAGAAACAAGAAAAATCGAAAGCATTTTTAAGAAAAAACATGCGTATAGAAATAAACATATAAATTAAATAAATAGATACATTAATAAATACATACATATATATATGCATACAATATCGGTCCTTTAAATTGTGTCTGTCTTTTTTAGGACCACATCTGAACCTTGCTGACAAAAACTTTACATTTTTGAATACTAAATTATATTGTAAATATAAATTTAAAATAAATCATTGATTTATCGAATTAAATTGATTGTAATCAGTAAGCATTGAGATTATTGGTGGTTTTAGAGGCGAGCAAATAAAATTTAGACAGCAATCAAAACACAGGATTATCCAGCTGTAGCACCGATAGTGGAAACGACATCGAGAATGAAATACTACCTGATTGCCAGGTTTAAAAGGCTTAGAAATTCCACTGAAAAATTCCATGTGACAAAATTTAAATTCCCCATGAAAAGCAACGAAATTTGTGAGTGCTTAAATTTTTCTACAGAGATTGCTTGAAGAAACGGTGTGGGTCCATTCATCGTTATCATGGATAATGAGCCAAAAACTGCTTAAATTCAATAAACTCACCAAAAATGCCGATGCGGAACTGTCGATGTTACTGGGAAATAACGCTGAAATGAAAAATGACATTGAGATCTTTAAAAACTATTAGAGTGGAACCAATTGTAGTGCTGGAATTTACAAGGACAAACACTCCCCCTCCCCCTTCTCCTCGCCCCATCTCCGAGAGGTGGAGGTTCAGAAATAGCCCGGGTTAGTAGCATTTATCAATGAAAAAACGTCCCCCTCCCCTCCTCCTTGCCCCGTTTCCGAGAGGTGGAAGTTCAGAAGTGGCCTGAGCTGGTAGCATTTGTCAGTACATCCGCTGACAAAGCTATTCATGGCTTTTATTTTCGCGGATTGGTTAAAACAGACTGATGGCGGTTTTGACTCCCTGGCATGTACCAGTTGCTAGTTTTCATCAAAACGAATGAACGAATCGTAGAGGGATTGGTTGTCCAACTGCACGGGTCAAACGTCCGACCCCAGTGCTACCTGCCATTACGCCATGTCCGCAAAAAAAAAATCGAGCAAAATGAAAACGTACGTGGATCTGTTGAATATTGGAAATAATTTTGCGAGCACGAAATCTAACTGGCAAAGCAATACGCTCCAAATTTGACACCTGGAACGAAATGATCTTGGGACTGAGTTAGAAAAAATCACGAAAAACACGAAATCGACGCAAACAAGAGAACGTGCAAATAAGAAAATGTTTGCTTAAAATGAACGGAACAAACACACACACACAGCTAGCATCCGTTCTCCTCCAAAAAATGCCGAAAATCTCAAAAATGTCACAAAAAAAAGTAAGATCCCAAAATGCAACGAAAAAACCTGATAAAATGCTCCCAATTATATCTTAAAAATAATAATCAGATTCAGTGTCACAGCTGTGGAAGGTGAGTCGGAGGGCGAGGGGGAGGAGGGGGAGGGGAAAGGGGAAGAGGAAGGGACACGGAACGGAAAGGACGGTTATCTAACTTAAAGAAATGATTCGCTGAAGCAATTCATTTAGGCCAAGTTATTATTCTAAGATGACAAATGAGGTTAGGCTAATTGAAAAATGATATTAAGCCATTTTAGCGCTTTCTTGTCCTCTTCCCTCTCGTATCTGCTTCTAAAAACGTAGCCAATCCAAATGAAAGGGGAAAAAATGCATTGTCGTCAAACTTTTTTAGATTTGGAACATTTTTGCCGGAAAATGTCCTGGTAAAGGACCGCATAAGCCAATGAGGGAAAATGAAGCGATGAGGGAAATACTGGGAGGAATAGAAGAGACGATTCAAAAGTATATCACAATTGAAAAGAGTGGAAAAATGGAAAGTACATTTGATGCAAAATGTTTCATACAACCACCGGGTTTATTTCATTTTTCTCAGGAAAGGATAAATTTTTCTTTTTAATCGGTCATTCAATGAGCGAAAAGTGAACAAAAACCGGAAAAATTCAATAAAATGAGGAGGGATCATTCGATAGAAAGAAAAATTTAAAATGCAAATGAAATGAGGTAAGCCAAAAATATACAGTGAAAGAGGAGAAAAATGTGATTCAGTGAGACGGAGAAAAAGGTGTTTGATGAGAGGAAATGTATATCAGCAAAATGAGGTAAAAACGTAACTCAATGATCAAAAAAAAAAAAATAAATATCTCTGAAAACATCGTCTGGAACCAACAGAACATAAAAGTATGATTCAGTGGGCTAAGAGAAAATGTCCGGTGAGAGAAATTTGATTCAGAGCACAAGTGAGGGACATCTTTTGATGAGCTACAAAAAACAAAAAGAGGGAAAATACAGTCCGAAAAACAACAGAAATTTCAGAGAAAAAAAAGCCGAAAAAAGCGAAATTGTTGGGAACATGGATTCTTTTTTTCGAGCCATGAATCGCTGTATTATATTGGAATCGAAGCAATAGCTGCTGCAACAGCAGCAGCTGACCCATTTGTACATCGGCGGTAACAACGACGAATAAAAATGACTGACTGTACGGGGGATGGATGCGCACAGA